TACCTGTTCAATGCCTCGGCCATTTCATCATATCCCATAACTAAATTCCCCTTCTCATCCTTTAAAGGGTCAACGTTTACTTTAGCCACTCTTTTTCATTTTATATATTTATAGAAACTTTTGCTATCTGTCTTTATATTCTGTGCTAGTTTTTTCTCATGTTCTATCTTACTTTTCTTTATAGCTGTTCTTGTGGCTTTCTGTTGACCTTTAAAGTTTTCCCAATCTTCTAGTTTCATGCTGTTTTTGGCCACTTTGTAAGCCTTCTCTTTCAATTTGATAACTTCCCTTATTTCTTTAGACACCCATGGCAAATTACCCCTTTTCTTACAGTCCTTCCTTTTCATTGGAATATACTTTTGCTGCGCACTTTGAAAAATTGCTTTGAAAGTCCTCCACTGCTCGTCAACTGTCCCACCATAAAATCTTTGTTTCCAGTCTACTTTAGCCAAGTCCTCCCTCTTAGAAAAATTTTCTTAAAACCATTCACAGTATTCCAGCTGTGCTCCGACTAATTCCTTCTATAGTTCTAACAAAACCGTCCAACTTTTATATTCTATTCCCCTTTGAATAAAGGCCACCATTCCATTTGCTTTCCTTATAACCTGCTCAGATTGGATGGCAGCTTTCTTTCTCATTTGTGGATGAGAACTCCCAAATCCATCTGTTATGTAGCTTTCTGCAGTCTTTCTCCATTGAAATAATATTCAGCTACTCTCTTCTTCCTGGCAAAGGACATAACCCTACATTTTCCCACATTATATTCCATCCGCCAAGTTTCTGCCCACTCACTTAACATGTCTAACTATATCCCTCTGCAGATTTTTTGTGCTATCCTCATCACTTGCCTTCTTACCTATGTTTCTGTCAGCTGCAAACTTGACTTTAATACATTCACTTTCCTTATCCAAGCCATTAATACATTGTAAATGATTGTGACCCCAGCGCTAATCCATGTGACACTCTGCAAGTTACAGGTTGCCATCCTGAAAATGCCCCCCTTTTCTCTGTTTTCTATTAGTTAGCCAATCCTCTATCCATGTAAATATACCTAACACTGTGGGCACTTATTAAGTAACCTAATGCACGGTACCTAATGAAATGCCTCTGAAAATCCAAATATATTACACCCACCACTTCCCTTTTATTGATCCTGCTTGTTACCTCCTGTTATCGAATCTGGAGAATGTGGATTTTTTTCGGTTCTGAAAAAAAGTCAAACTGAACTCAAAACATTAACTCTGTTCTTCTCTCCACAGATGCTGCCAGACCTGCTGAGTTTTTCTGCATTTGTTTTAAACTACATAATTGCCTTGCTTTGCTCTCACCTTCACCAAAAGATAAAATGAGAACTTGCCTCTATGAGCTGGAGAGTGAATTTCCATACCCAGTCCAGAGAATTACCTTTGATTCAAAAATGCTTTAAAACATCCATCTTACCTTTTATATGAAGGGCTCCACAGTTAGACTTGGCTGGGATGCCTGAGACTTTGGTCAGATAAAAGCTGAAATGCTTGGCTTTTTCCAGCACATCCCACTTGTCTAAGGGCTCAGAGCCACTCTCCAGTTTGGATCGCCAAGTCGCTTCTGAGCTGACTGAGGGAGAAGGATAGTCTGTCCCATCCAGGCGTGGTTTTTTCTCCCTCTGACCAGGGCTCGCCTGGTCGACTGGCTCTTCCTTGACCCGCCATTCTCTTGCTTTGACGTCAGACTCCTCGTCGCTGCTGGAGACACCCCAACCTGATTCGGATGACGGTCTGGACCGTTTGAGGGCAGGGGAGGGGCGCTGGGCAGGGGTCACAGAGCATTCCTGCCTTGTTTTGCCGGCTGTGGATGTTTGTAGCCTGGAATAAGCGAATTCTGAAGGCCCACTGCTGGAAGCAGCATTCCCCTGGCCAGAGTGAGGTGCCTCCAACTCTCCCTCATCCACCACTGTCTCATCTGAGTCTGACACATAGTCTTTCCTGACAGAGTGTGAGAATGGGAGGGGCCTTCCTGTTGCCTGGGCAGGGTCAGCATCTTCATCATCACTGCTTGACACTGTCCACCTCCCATGCTGACTCTGTACTTTGCTCACTCCACCAGACATGTCTTTTATTGTGTGGGGGAAGAGGGGAAGGGGTAGTGGAGAAGGAATAAGAGAATTAAAATCAAAGAAAAGACTTGCATTTATTAACCACCCTTCCAAACTCCAAGACATCCCAAAATGCTTTCCAGTCAGCCAATGACATTCTTCTTAAAATATACTTACAGTTGGAATGTAGCAAGCCAACTGGCAAGTGCGCAGAAACGTGGCAGATGGCAGAAGGTAGGAAAATGTGGGCTTCTGTAATTTGGCGGGAAGAATGAGGAGCAATATATTATTTAAAAGCAGAAAGACAGCAGAAAGCCTCAGCACAGGAGGATGTTGGAGTCCTCATGCAAAACTCACAAAAAGCTAGTATCCAAGTTTAGTGAGTAATAGGGAATGCAAGTGGAATGTTGGCCTTTATTTCAAAGTGAATGGAATATATAAGTAGGGAGGTCATGCTAAACTAAACTAGGCACTAGTCAGGCCACAGCTGGAATGCTGGGTACCTAATCTAAGGAAAGATATGCTGGCATTGGAGGCATTCCAGAGAATGTTCACTCGGTTGGTAGCAGGTATGGTTGGACTGTCTTATGTGGAGAGGTTGAGTAGGTTAGGCCTGTACTCGTTGGAGTTTAGAAGCATGAAGGAGACCTTACTGAAACATACAAGATTCTTAGGGGGTAAATGTGGAAAGGTTGTTTCCCCTGTGGAAGAGTCTCAGACCAGAGGGCATAATCACAGAAGAAGGAGTTGCATACTTAAGACTTGCACTAGCGGATTTTCTTTCTCTCAGAGAGTAGTGAATCTGTGGAATTCTTTACTGCAGAGGGCTGTTGAGGCTGTTTGGCGCATTGTGTTGGAGTGAATGCAGATTAGATGCAGCTTAGTTCAAGGTGGGCTACCTGTTGGCCAAAATAAGTGCAATTTATCTGAGCACTTTACAGCCAAAGAAATACTTTTAGATGAGATTTCACACATAGGAATCTCCCACAAATTGCAACAGGATAATGTCCAAATGATCTGTTTTGATGAAGGGTGAGATAGACAGATTTTGAATCAGTTAGGCAATCAAAGGTTATGGGGGTAAAACGCAAAGTGGAGTTGAGGATGATCAGAATAAACATGATCTAATTGAATGGCAAAACAGTTGGATGGGCTGAATGGCCTACTTCTGCCACTGCATCCTATGATAGGAAATATGGCAGTCAATTTATGCACAATCTACAAACAGCAACATGACAGTGTCCAAATCGTGTGGTATAGGAATATCGGCCCAGAACTCAATAATGATTGAGTTAACTGGTAGTTCTTTCATTCTGGTGAAACCCCTGCTCTGCTGCATTTGGGGCTGTGGGCGGGAGTGAACACTATTGTGGTACTGTGGTATCATATTGTCACTGCTGCCGGTCTAATTAAAATTGGGCAGGGCCAGATTACCAGGGACTGGATGCACCATAGTTACCTGGAGTCAATCCGAAATCTCAACCACAAGTGATACCTTCCCAAGTCACGTACATCAACACCGGTTGTCCGAGAGAACTTCAACCAACTTAACCCCATGCCCTCTCTTACCATCTCTGCGTCCGTCTCTCCAGAAGCCAATTATTAAACAAATAACAGCCACTGCCTTGGGCAGTCTACTCAGTACCTTGACTTGCAAAATCGCCAATTAAGGATATATTGTTTAAAGAGTCTCGGGCCAACATTAGCAATATGCAATACCTTCCTTAAGTCCAACCTGTGTTTTTTGTCGAGTTTCAATAGCACTTCAGAGTGGAACTGAATGGGCTGCAGGTACCTTCGGCGTTAAGCCAGACAAAGTACGCAACCACAGCGTTGAATAGCACACGGCGAAGCATAAAGAAGAAATGGCCCCCGTTGGTTGGGGTGCAATGGGTCGAAAAGCAGCGCACGCCTGAGTCAGGCAAGTTAAAAAAAAACCCATTGCAAGCATCGATTTGTAGCGGGATTGAGCCTAATATAGATTAGAACAGCATTTATCTAGACTAGTGCAGCCCACCTTGAATGAAACTGTATCTAACCTTCAGGCGCCCCGACACAATGTATCAATCTGCTGTATCCGCACAATGTATCCAATCTGCTTCAGAACGTGGCCCGAGAAGACGAACCCCTTTCGAACGCAGCCCTTGAGCCCTTCCTACCGTCTCCCCCAGGTCCTATCGCCCTCTTTCACTTTCCAATTTGCCCTGAGTGCCTACGGCAACCCTTATCCCGTTAACAATGAGAATCGCGGCTACTCTCATCTGAATTTGCTTTTTGAGAATTGAGCTGTTTTCACCTCTTGCTCTGGAAAATCCAGCACACTTGCTGGTATTCTCGAGTTCCCAGGTTCAAGCCCCAATGCAGCCGCCTTCTGAACACAAGTAACATAGCTGAGGGAGGAGATGCAGACCTTTGAATGTGACGTCAAACTGAGGCACCCCGCCTGCCTGCTCCAGAAGATGTAAAAGGTCCCTATGCACTACTTTGAAAAGCAGAGAGGTTATCCCAGTCAATATTTATTTCTTTATCAAAAACCAGATCATTTGATTAATATCCCATTGCTGTTTGTAAGAGATTACTGTGCACGAATTTGGCTGCTGTATTACAGCTGTGAGGGGCTACACTTCAAAAAGTACTTCATTGTACTTCTATTCTATTCACTGGCTGTAAAGCGCTCAGATAAATTGTATTTATTTTGGCTATCAGATAATACAGCCCACATGAATTAAACTGCCTCTCATCTGCAGTCACTCCAACACAATGCACCAAAATGGCTTCAGAACACAGCCCAGGAGGATTTAATTGGAAAATGGTAATTATGAAGCACTTTTTTTAAAAATTCACTCGTGGGAGGTGGGTGCCACTGGCTGGGCCAGCATTTGCTGCTGTAACTCCTATGTATTTGAATTAAGTAGTGCCCCAATCTTTTCAATTATTTATAAAAGACTTAAAGGATGACAGATGGCAAGAGTTTCTACAAAATTTAACAGAGATTTAATACAGTGAACATTGGTCCTATAAGAAGGCGGATTAATAATGGAAATAAGGAAACGGCAGATGAATGTAGCACGTATTTTGCATCAGTCTTCACTATGGTGGATACAAGTAACATTCCAGAAGCAGTGATAAATCAGGAAATGGCAGGGAGGGAGAACTCAGGGAATGCACGTTCGCCAGCGAGGTGGTACTGAGTAAATTGTTGGAGCTGTGGCAGACAAGTGCCCAGGTTCTGAAGGACTTCATCCAAGGGTCTTAAAAGAAGTGGCTACTGAAATAGTTGGTGTGTTGGTTTTAATTTTCCGAAACTCCCTCAATCCAGGGAAAGTCCATTAGATTGGAAGATAGCAAATGTCAATCCTTTATTCAAAAAGGGTGACAGAGAGCCAGAAACAACAAGCCAGGTTGTGTAATATCTGTCACAGGGAAAATGTTGGAAGCTGTTATTAAATAAGTTATTACAGGGCATTCGCATAACTTCAAGGTAACTGGGCACAGCCAACATGGTTCTTTGAAAGAGAAATCATGTTTGGCCTATCTACTGGAGTTCTTTTGAGGAGCTAACACATGCCATTGATAAAATGGAATTGGTAGATGCACTGGACTTAGGTTTTCAGAAGGTACTTGATAAGGTGCCACATCACAGGTTATTGTGGAAAATAAAAGCTTATGGCGTAGGTGGTAGCATTTTGGTATAGAAGACAGGCTAGCTAACGTGAACCAGAAAGTAGATTAAATTTTTACTTTCGAGCAGAGAGGATGTCATGAGTAGTGTGTGACAGGGGTCAGTGCTGGAGCCTCAACTCTTTACAATTTATATGAATGATTTGGATGAAGGGACCATTGGTATGGTTGTCAAGTTTGTTGATGGTACACAGATAGTAATGTGAATTGTGAAGAGGACATAAGGAGGTTACAAAAAGTTATTAATAGGTTCAGTGGGAGGGCAAAGATGTGGTAAATGGAGTAATTCATGAAAAATACAGAATTGTCAATTTGGCAGGAAGTTATAAAGGATGCATATTATCTAAATAATGAGAGATTACAGAGCTCAGAAATGCAAAGGAATATGGGTGTCCTTGTGTATAAATTGCAAAAGGTTAGTATGCAGGTATAGCAAGTAATTAGAAAAGCTAATAGAAAAATATCATTTGTTCAGAGGCAATAAAAGCAGAGAGGTTATGCTTCATTTATACAGTCATGATGTGGAGGTGCCAGTGTTGGACTGGGGTGGACAAAGTCAGAAGTTAAGTGACTTCACCTGATGAAGGAGCAGTGGTTCGAAAGCTTGTGATTTCAAATAAACCTGTTGGACTATAACCTGGTGTCATGTGATTTATGACTCAGTTATATAGGGCAATAGTGAGATCACATCTGGAGTAAAGTGTACAGTATTGGTCAGAAAGGATCTAAATATGTTAGGGGTAGTGGTAACTGCCGATGCTGGAGAATCTGAGATAACAAGGTGTAGAGATGGATGAACACAGCAGGCCAACCAGCATCAGAGAAGCAGGAAGGCTGACGTTTCGGGTCTGGACACTTCTTCAGAAATATGTCAGGGGCAGTTCAGAGGTTTACCTGATTAATGCCTGGAATGAACAGGTTGTCTTATGAGGAAAGGATGTAGAGACTGGGCATGTATCTGCTCAAGTTTAGAAGAATAGGAGGTGACTTGATTGAAACAGGTCAGTTCCTGACGAGCCACAACAGATTGGATGTGGAGAGGATGTATCCTCTTAAGGGAGAACGTAGAACCGGGGAGACTGTTTAAAAATCAAGGGTCACACATTTAAACCAGAGGTAAGGCAATTTTTTTTCTTTCAGAAGATTACAAGTAACTCTCGTCCTGAAAAGACGGTCGAAACTAAGTCATAGAGTTATACAGCATGGGAACAGACCCTTCAGTCCAACTCATCTACACCAACCAGATATCCCAATCTGACCAATCCTCTGTATTTGCCAGCATTTGGCCCAAAGCCCTCTAAACCCTTCCTATTCATATACCCGTCCAGATGCCTTT